TATTCTAGTCTTCATGGTTGACAAAGGATCCGGCCCACCTAGACCAGATAGGCCAGGGTCTTTTAGAAGGACGCAACCACTTTCTTCTGGTCCCACCTAGACCAGATAGGCCAAGTCTTTTTGAGGGATGCAGCCACTTTCTTCCAGTCTTTGTGGTTGACTAAAAATCCGGCCCACCTAGACCAGATAGGCCAGGTCCTTTTGAAGGACATAGCCACTTTCTTCCAGCCTTCGTGGTTGATAACAGACCTGGCCCACCCAGACCAGTTAGGCTGGGTCTTATTGAAGGACGCAGCCACTTTCTTCCAGTCTTCATGGCTGACTAAGGATCCAGACCTAGATCAGACAGACCAGGTATTTATGAGGAACGCAGCCACTTTCTTCCAGTCTTTGTGGTTGACAAAGGATCTGGCCCACATAGACCAGATAGGCCGGGTCTTTTTGAGGGATGCAGCCACTTTCTTCCAGTCTTCTTGGTTGACAAAGGACTTGGTCTACCTAAACCAGATAGACCGGGTCCTTCGAAAGAGGCAGTCCCTGAATTTGGAGGCCCTAAGACACTCTCCAGCTCCTCTGGGAGGATCCTAGGGTACCTCCAGACAAGAGAAGGTACATAATCCCTCCAACGAGTCCTGGGTCTGCTGAGGAGAGCCATGGCCTCACACTTAGGGCAGTTTCTCACTGGACTGTGACTGATGGAGACTAATTAGAAGTCTTAATTTCCTCGCCTGAGTTGCAGAGCCTTAAACGGGTATCTGCCTCCTTTTGTAGATTTTTTTTGGGCATGTCCCACTGAGAAGAAACCAGAGTCGGACCCAAGAACTCAGAAGGGATTATATCCTCAGTAAAACAGGTGTGGGCCTGGACAAGGAGCCCTGTCCAGGAACCGAACTCATCTGCTCATGGATGAGGTGGACAGCATCTTTTACAGGTTCCTTTAGCCTTAGACTGAGTTTAAGAGCAAACCTCTTCTATTCCTTCTTCTTGATCTGCATTTGGAAGGACTCATAATCCTACAACGCTGATCTGTCCTTCCAGACAAGTCTGGGTCTTACTGGCAGTTTGGACGGTCCTTGTCTTTAAAAGACCTCACTTTAACGTGTTTTCCAGAGCTCAGCGCTGAAAAGACTTYATGTTTGTACGGCTGCACGTTATAGGATCATAAATACTTCCGCTCCTGATCTTTAAATTTCCCTGACAAAACACGTCCTGGTGAAAAGCCTTTAACCGCCGTTGAAGAGGGGTGTTTAAAGGAGGTTTCATTCAGACCCACGGAACGCTCCCACCTCCGGCCTCTGTGCCCTGCAGACACACCACAATATGATAATACCCATGTGAATAGGAAGAGGAGTGGGTCTGCTAAAATGACAAATTATGATAAATGAGGCCATAGCATAGGCATGAAGGAGGGGAAATCACCTCTGTAATGCACCGTGTTTTGTGTGTGTGTGTGTGTGTGTGTGTGTGTGTGTGTGTGTGTGTGTGTGTGTGTTCGTCCCTACATCACAGAGCAGGAAAACGGACAAAAAGAGACAGACTGGATAGAGAGTGAGGGGTGTGCCTGCAGGGAGGAAGAGATGAAGAGGAGGGGGATGAAAAGGCAGACACATATATGATCCCCCACCCCCCCAAAAAAAAAACAAAAAATAAATAAAAAAAAACACCAGGAGTCTGATCCCTTCACCTCAGTCGCTGCAGATTTAACAGAGCAGGACCTCCTAACTGGAGAGCTATATTAACTTGATGCTGTCAAAAAGCTAAAACGTCCCTGAAACCCTCCACCGACACGAGGCGAGCGCTCCTCCCGTGGCTGCAGTTTGTTTTATCCTCCTCACATTTCCTCCAGAAACAAAAAAAAATCAGTTTTTTTCCTCTCTGTGACTAAAACTGTGTTCAGAGCAAATAAAGACATTAAACACTCTCTGGGAGTTTCTACGGCAATCAACAACAAATCGATCAATCCCATTGGACACGCTGGTGGTCGAGCTTACGCTTCATGTCCCCATCGACCGACCACACACACACACACACAAACACACACACACACACACACACACGTGTGTGTGTGTGTGTGTGTGTGT